CTCACATTTTAGTGGATATACTTTGTTCAAAAAGTATTTCGAATAACATTTTATACACAGTCCTTTTAATAATGCCTCCCGTCCAACATCATCACTCCATAAAGTTGTATATGTTTTTGTTTGTGAACGTTTAATGTATTTTTCACATTTAATTGTGTTGTAACTATCTAAATAAAAAGAACATTTTTGTGGTCGTTTCAACTATTGAACAAACACCATTTAAGTTGATTGAATTGAAACATTCTATACATCCAAACCAATTTGGTACTTCTGACAGTATTTGTGGTTCTCATATGACAGTTTTGAATCTAAATGAGCCATATACTCAAATGATTTTATGTGTTGATAATTTGTTCTTGATGTACAAGTCGAACAACTTGTAGTACACTCGATTCTGTATCCTTCGTTATCTATCAAATTTGTTGTTGTCAATCATTTCTTTGTTTTTCGAGACTCAAACTCCATGCCACTCTGGCAGCCAGAAAACTCCAAAACAACAATATCAATTGTTGAATTCGGTTTGTGGTCACATGAATAACACCCATAAAACAGATTGGAACACTTCATACTGACACTCTGTTACACTTTGAATTCGTCGACTGGAAAGTCAATGTAATTTCCTTCAGTCTTGAATACCATTCGATTGGATTCGCAGTTTATTGCTCTTTTAATGCTCAATGAAATCGTTTTTGAAACACGTTTATTGTAATTATTCAACGCCAATCATATGGGGCATAATATACAATTCAATGATTTGTATATTGTGCTTGTATAAAATTATGCCACGTTTGAGCCGAGACATATTACATGGATGCATTTTGTGCAACAACAATCAAAAACCATCGGTTTGGTGTTATCATTGGGTCTATTTTTGTGACATCATTAGTGACTTAACTGTTGCAGATTCTCTTGGTATTTCCCAAGCGCTGATATCAAACCGTACTGTATTTCCCATCACTTTTCAAAACTCTACATGGAAGTGCTGCAAAAAGAAAATGTAACACAGTCAAGTCTGTTCGAACAGCGTCTTTGATGTTGGAGTTTCTCGTGTATAGTGTTGAGTTTGTGCTCATCAAAGAGATCATCCAATGTTTTATCTCACTAAGGTCACAACCATTGAGATCTATGAAGAATAATTAACCATACTTGACTCCAAACCATTTAATTTGTTTATTTTTGGTGTTGTTTGTTTATCTGTAGTCTCAAAAAAGACACTTTCGAGGCGTTTTCTGGGGTAAACGACGAAGTTTCATTATAGACTATTTTACCGACATTTCGAAAAACTCTTTCGGAGTCTATGCTTGTTGGTTGAAAAGAGAGATACTTCCTGGCAATATCATATAAATCGGCGTGTTTGTTTAGTTTAATACAGTTTTGCCAATATTCTTCGGGACTTTTACAGTTTTCTCCGTTTTCTATCGCACCACGATCTTCTAAATACAATCTAATTGCTTTATCATTTGGTGATTCCTCTCGTCTTTGTACTGCATCAGTTGTCATCATTGGAATTGCCCAATTGGCAAATTCAATATGAAAAATTGAACTCGAATTTAAAAAAGCGGAACTACTTTGTGGTGTTATATTACTTATGCCACTCAATTCAGCCTTCACTCTTTGAACACAGGTATTGATTTGTGTTTCAAACAAATCACCATCACGAGTAATAGGAAAAAAAGAAAGCTGCTAAAATATATTCTTTTTTTTTGAGAAATAGCGCGCAGTCTTTTTTCGAATTCAGATCGAGCTATCATTTTCAAGTCCTTTCCAAAAATAGTCCCAGCTTCAATTTCCATAAAACCACTTTCCGATTCTTCTGCATAATCTTCATCTATTTCACTATGTTTTAATATATTTTTTAGAAACCCTTCCGGTTGGTAAATAGAAGAGGAAATTGTGTTCCAAATGTCTCTAATAGCTCCCACAACATAACACGATGTAATTTTTTGGTTCGCCGCCAATTTGTTGTAAAGATCGTCCATTGCTTTTGTGAGTGAATACATTTCTTTGACCCCTTTCCACCCCTCTTCATTGAATTGAATCCCATTGTTCAGTTCTTTAACACTCTTCTCTCTTTTTAACAATTTGCTAAAAGAAAGGTAACATGAATTAAACCGCGTTTTCGTATAAGTCGCAAGACATCCAGGCTCTTCACAATTTTTTGAACACAACTCTTCAAAAATTCTTTGTGTTTTGGCCAAAGAATTAATACTTTTCACGAAGGCTTTCATCCCTGGTATTTGTTTTATCACAGCAGAAAACAAATTATTAGACGTGTGTACAACACAGTCAGTTTTGTTTCCATTTATTTCAGACAATTTATTGTTATTTGATGCCGAATCAGCAACAAATTGTATGTTGTTAACATTCAAATTTAAATCGGTAACAATTTGACTCACACACGTTTTAATTTCCTTTCCAGTATGTTCTACATTAAAAGGACTCACATTCAAAACTTCGTTGTGTGACTCAAATTGTTTATCGACATAGTGGAGAGTTGTTGTTATATAAGAATTATTATATTTACTCATGATATCTGTTGAAATGGATCCTGATAGATTATTGAAAACGACATCTTCTTTAATTCTTTTTTTGAGATCTCCTAGTTCTCTATCGTACAATTCAAAAAGACAAGTTGTTCTAAATGTTTTTTCGTCTGACAATACAACTGACTTATCGAGAAAATTCAGTAACTCGACTAAAAAGGGATTTCGAATTTGACTAAAAGGAATTCCAACAGATGAAAAAAATCTCATCAACATTATGTTAACCTCTTTATTTCTTTGTGACATTTTTGGAAACAGTTTTCTCCTTTTTTCTTCATCTTTTAATTTGTCGTAATGTAAATTAATTAAATGATTTTTTGCTGATGAAGTAGACTGTGTGACCATGTTATAATTTAACATTTTGTTACAGAGAAAACATTTTATAAAAAAGGAACAACCAACACATGTGGGTTCTCCCTTTGATTGGTATTCACCGGGAAGACACTCGGCGTGTTCTTGGCATGGCAAATATACAATTTTCATGTAATTCCAAATAAATGAACGAATCATTATTAATTGTAGATCCAAACACAAAAAAATATTATATAGTTTCATATTTTAGTTTTTATTGTTTAAATAAATTATAAAAACAAATGTTTTATTTGTTTAGATAACAGTATATTTTAATATACAGTCATGCGAAAAAGCTGTCGCGTTTGGAAAAACCTGTCTTGAAAAAATATTTTATAGTAAATTTATAATTACTTACTATACAGTATAGCTTCTATTCGATTTATTTGCAGGGTCATTTCACAAAAATCGAATAAAAATATTCGGCATTTCCAAATAACATTTTCTATTTCAGATCATTTGTTTATAGTACTAGAATAGTTCATTACACCCCGAGACAGGTTTTTCCAAACGCGACACCTTTTCACATGACTGTATATATTTATTCAAAATATCAAGTTAATAAGTAATTTATTTTGTGAATGTATTTGTTTTTAATAAAAATAATAACATTTTTATATTTAAATTTATAATTATTGATTATATTTTTATAATTATTTATTTTTTATATTATATAATAATACAAATAACTTATTTAATTAATAATATCGTTTGTTGTTTATTATAAATAATGTTTATAATTATTTTTATATTTTTTATAATTATTAAAATGAATTTTATTACTGCCACTAAACTCATTTAACCATTATAAAAGTTTGGCCATTTTTCATTTGAAATTTTTTTACGATGACAATAATCTTCTTTTTTTTTACTAAATTTTGATTTTTTATTTTTTTGAGACTAAAAATTTAATTCGATTTTTTGTTTTTTTATGTTAAAAAGAACTTAAAAACAACACTTTTAAATTAAATAAATTAAAATAAGCTGAACTTAAAATAATGTCTCCACGTTTACTAATTAAGACAAAATTATCTTTTTGAAACAAAACCTTGGAAATAAAAAAAATAATGGCAAAAAAATTTTCTTATTTTTGACGACTAAAAAATATGTGATTTTAGTGATCGGTCCCTAGGTATAGTTTTCAAATAACAACGAAAACGATGTTGTCCCGAAGATTATAGTTGGAGTTATAGTTCTTTACTTTCGACCCGTTGTATAAGAAACGATATTCACAATTATTTTTTTGTCAAATTGAATATGTTTGAAAAATATATTATATTTGAAAGAACATAGACAACGGTGTTTGTTTCAATATTCTAATTGATCTTGTTATTCCGCTATTTTTTTATCACTAATTAATAATTAGTTTATTTTTTGAAACATAAAATATAGTTGTTTTTAAGAACTATATAGTTTGTTATATTTTTCAAAATTGTTTTTCACCAACTCAGAATTTTTGTTCACATCTCAAAAATAATCAAATTAAATTTTAGATGGATTTTTACTAAAAAAGTTGAAACAATAACACCAATACGTTGGATAAAAACAACGGAATTTATTACGGAGAATTGAAAAAACGCAAAACAAACAAGTCAGCAAACTATTATCTTTTCAAAAAATTGAATTACAACAAACTGCGTTATAAATTGTATTACAACAATAAGTGAACAAGTTTGTTATATGTAATGTATATATTAATCTATATATTCAATAACAATGACAATAAGGTGGTTGAAATGTACTTGATAGTGAATCTGTTTTGGATACTCCAAGCACATCGCCTAATACTATAAATTTTATCGGCTTGAAAATATATGTCTCGGGATTTCTGATGTTTCTATTGCGTAAATCCCGAAAAAATATAAAAATTATATCTTCGATATAATATCTTAGTTAAACTAGTTCTTATTTGTTAGTTGGTTTGAGTAATATCCTAGTGTAGAAAAATGTTAAGAAAAAATAAAACGGGCATGACAGTCTTTTTTAAAAGATTAAACGACAAAAAAAGAAAAAATAACACTGCCTAATAAAAAAATTAACAGGGAAACAAGGAAACGTGTTAAATAATATTAATAGAATGGTAAAACTAAAAAAGAAAAAAGTGTCATGCAAAATAAGCGAGTATTAAATCGTGAATACACAAAAGAGGAAATCGAAAGCAAGAAGCCTCGGCCGATGAAAAAGAACATTGATGATTATAAACCATCGGGTAACCTATACAAAAATTTGAAAACATCTGACGGACGGCGGATCAATTATATCGAACCGGAAGACAGCTCCCTTCCAACAACAAAATATCGACTTTTTTGCTTTAAAAATGATGAAGAAATCGAAGAACCACTTTATATGGACAAGCGCTCGTTTTACATCTTCGGAACCGACCAAAAGAATGTGGATTCCATTTTGATGCACAAGACGTGTGAAGGGCAACACGCTGTCATCCAATTCAGACACAACGGCGACACTGTTTTACCTTATATTATTGATTTAAATAGTAAATACGGAACGTATCTCAATAAATGTATCATTAAGCCGTCAACATATATCGAGCTGAGAGAAGGCGATATGCTCATGTTCGGGAAGTCACAAAGGGAGTATATTTTAGTGATTGAAAAGCCCATAAAAACGACAAGAACGCACTCCAAATAATTCACTGTTATTTATAATCGATTAAATAAATATGTAAAGATTAAATAAAGTCTGCGAAAGACTAAACTTTATTAATAATGAGCAATCTAGTCTAAAAATGGAACTACAAATATATAACATTTTAACTAGAATATATAATAGTTGATATATATGTTGGGTGGTTTAATAGAACAACAATCACTTATAATATGTCACTTCTTAACGAAGTCAAATATTTTAGACACGGACGACGACACAGACTTTTCATCGTTCAGGTCAAGACTCAATTTTTGAACTCGTTGGTCGAATCGATCTCTTCCATCAACGTCTTCTATTCCCATCTTTCTCTTTTCTGCTTTCAGTTTAATATCCTTTCTTAACGTCTTTCTCTTTTCATAAGACGAAACAACGTCGAGAAGTCCCTTAAACAAATCTTTCTTTACAGCTTGGAACGAATCAGTGTTCGACTCTTTACTCTCTAAAACGGCATCTTTCCCATCAACTATTTTTCCCAACGTCGCAGTCTTTTTCATAAAAATTTGCCACAGTGTCTCGTCGTATGTATTCCTCGCAATCAAGTACTGAATCCGCACCAATTTCGCTTTTTGTCCAATTCGGTGTATTCTGTCCTCCGCTTGTATCATCTTCCCTGGTACAAAACTTAATTCGGCAAATATACACATCGCCGCACTTGAGAACTCAACACCACAATTCGCAACTTCAATTGAGAGTAACGCAACTCGACACCCCTCATTCTTGAATTTCTCAACCAACTCCCCCCGCTCATCTGCTTTCGTACTCCCATCTATTCTGACGTAATTAATTTTCTTGTCGATCAAGAACTGCGTCAGCCCAGTTATAACGTCAACATGATATGCAAATATAACAATCTTCTCTTCCTTCTCCAATACCGTTTCGATGTATCCGCACACTGATGGCATTTTAGCAAGACCAGTAGATCGATACAACTCGAAGACGGGCCCTTTCTTCTCGTTCCAATTGCTCTCCGTCATGTCTTTCTTCATTTGGCAAAGCGTGTCATTCATATCAGGTTCTTCCAAATAGACGCGTTCTCTCTCTTTCTTTCCCAGCTCTTTCAAGACATCTATCTTTAGCCTTCGTATCATCACTTTCTCAAGTAAAATATTCAACTCCTTCTCATACTTCGAGCCGGTGTAATCTTTATATTTGGAATATGTCTGGTTCGCACAGTACCGGTCCCCAAATCGTTTCATCCCTACGCTGTGTATCGTATCGAGCAAACAACTTAATACGGGGAACAACTCAAGTGGCCGATTGACGGCTGGGGTGCCGGACATAAAAACAACGTGTTTCACTTTGCGACAGATTTCAAGGGTCTGTGTCGCCCTCTTTGTTGTTTGGTTCTTCAACAGATGACACTCGTCACAGACAACATATTTGAATGGATGTGAAAACAACTCTCCGTTACTCGCAGCAACAGAATCATATGATGTAATAACAAAGTTGGTGCCAGGCACCATTACATGTGGGTCATACTCGGCTATATCATCATCTGACACATCCAAAACATCGCACAACTGCATCCTCCACTGTAATTTAAGAATATTAGGGACAACGATCAACACTGGTCTGAGTTCCGGATACGCGCTTAAAATCGCTATGGTTTGAATAGTCTTCCCAAGCCCCATATCGTCACCAAGCATAAATTTGCCACATTTCTTCAACCCAAACTTGACGCCTTCCGTTTGAAACCCGTATAACATGTCTCTAATCTTCTGGGGTATTTTTTCAAACCGACCGATATCGCCAGTCTCATCCGGCATTTTAACAATTTTCCATACCCAATCGTCGATTTTGTGTATGTTCAGAAATTCGAGTTTCTGCTCAGTCAACAACTTTAACACTGCGTCATACGAACCCAATGAAATCCTCATCACACTCCGCTCGACTAAATCGAATTTGATGTTGTTGTGGTTGAATAACATTTTGACATCCGCGAATCGTTCGTTTGAAAATGTAATTGTGAAACTAGTTTTACTCTCCAAAGAAAACGCCGCGGAGACGTAACACACTCTCCCGCTCTTAACAAGGTTTCCGGAATTTGTCAATTGTTTTGTTGGCTTTTCCGACTCTTTCTCTGTTTTTTGAGGTGTGTTATGGGGTGTAATTTCCTTTAAAATATCCGATATTTCTGATATATCCGATTTGTCCACAACGACACTTTTCGTCTGACTCTTTTGAGGTGTAACTATTTGTTGTGATTGGTTAACAGCAATATGACGTGGTGTTGTTTGGTGAACAGCATTTTTATGAGTAACACTAATTGGGTCGTGTTTGAGTGGTTTGGTTTTCTGAGGAGTGACGTGAGGGAGAGTGATAGGTTTATGTGATTGTGAGAGTGATTTCACGGGGTTTTTCAATTTTTCCTTTGACTCTTGGATTTCGAATTGCGTCATAATGTCGTCGATATCAAAGTCCTCTTTCTCTTGTTTTGGATTCTTTTTTTGTTGTATTTGTGTGTTCTTCGCTTGAACCGTTTGAGTTGTTTGAGTTAAAGGTTTTCTTTGAGTTGGTTGTGTGAACGATTGTGTATTTCTATGTCGGTTCGGTTGAGTCAAAGACGGGATATAAATTATTCCATTTTTCGAGTTAATCCGTTGCAAGTCCGTCTTTTTGTCCATTTGCAAATTTCGAGTTTCAATTTTTATTTTGATGAACACATTAAACCTGCTCTTTTTTCATGCTATTTATTTGCTTCTCTTTACTCCTTTTCCCAATCTTCTTTCTCATTTTTTTTACTCTAAGTTGAATAAAATAATTATAATTGTTTCATAATAAATTATTACTAATTAAAAATTGAGGTATTTACAATATGTTGTTTTTCTTGATTTTACTATGAATTCTAATACAAATTAAAAATATCAGTAAATGTGTAATTTTATATTTATTTACTAATAAATAAAAATATTATACATTTACTAATATTATTAATTTGTATTTTAATAATTATTATAATAATTATATTATAAACAATATTATAATAAATTATATATATATATAATAACGATTAACAATTATATAATATAATTATAATAGATATAATATAATTATAATAGATATAATATAAATAATAATGACTTAAATCTAATTTTTCAATAAGTTGACAATAACTGGTACTGAGAGAGCATTAGGAGTGACCGTCATAATGTTTCCGAAGAAGTTACTAATCCAATTTTTCTTATTAATATCAGTGATGTTGTCAATAAACAGTTTCAAGACATTAAGAATTTCGGGGTGTTTCTTTGTAGAAGTAAGTAATCCTCTAAGTCCCTCTACTATAGCTTGTCCCATAGGGAAGTAATTCGATAGTTTTGTTTGATATACCAACTCGACAAATAAACCCACAAAATTGAATATTCCAAAACTCTTCCCAACAATTCCATTACTCTCTACAAACATCTCAATGCTCCTCACACAATGTTTTAATATCATTTTACCCATTTCCATGTTCTTCAATGTCTTCAATATGCAAAAGAGTCCTTTGATATATCCACTCCAGTTGATATAATTCAACATATCTCCAACGTGAATGGGTAAATTGGTCAAGTTGATAATCATTAAGAACTCGTCGACCTTCTCTCTGTATAATTCAGTATCGACGCCAAGTTGCTCAATGTCACCGATATTTTCCACATACATCTTTAACACATGGATATATTCCTCAGTGACTATTCGCTGTTTCATTTTCTGTTGTTTGTTTGCAATGTGTGTCATGACACTGACTACCATCTTTTGTCCTTCATAATTCCTTCCATAGTATTGGACCATTTCAAGAGGGGATGGGATTTCTAGACTTTGCTCCGAAACACTCTCCACCCATTGCTGAAGAAATTCATTCACCTTTTTCCCCACGTCTAACAGTAAAGATTGCTCGATATAGATCTCCCCACGCATCACTCCTTTAACAACTAATTTATACCCTTCAAAGACTCCACGCACTTCAATTCTATTGACATTCCGATTTTGTCGCAAGAACTCGACGAAGTTCTCAAGTTTCTTATAGACGTATTTCCCACAAAAGTCCGACTTTGTTCGACATGTCTCATTCAACCGGGTTAACGTGACTTGGAAGACATTTGCGATCACCCACTCCATATACTTCTCACTTAAGACTCCAAGTATTTCATAGATATCACTCTCCTCTCTCAACTGCTTCTGTGTGTATAGTACCTCTTCGTTCAATAACAATTGCTTCACTATGTTAATGACCCAATCTTCTTTCCCATTCCCTCCAAGCTTCTTATATTGAAAGACTAAGTCTTTAACTGCTTCGACGTGTTTGTTCTGCATACAGACTATAAGTGCATTGTTAACTATATACTCCACAGTGTTTGTGTCCATGAAAGATAGATACCGAATAACACAAGAAAGTATCACACTCTCACTCCGCACTAGTAACTTCGGCACCGCATTCATAAAGTACTTCCCAACGTGTTGCCCCATATACACTTGTGTCTCTTTCTGCTGTAATAACTTGTCCGGCAGTTGTAACAAGAAGTACGCGTGACACACAACTGAACTCCCTTCATTATCCGTCGCACCATATTGCTGAAGGTCGTCCAAAAACTTTTTAATCGTCTCTTTAGAGTAGTCTAAAACAGTCGCACACTTATACACATTGGCAAGTGCCGTTGTTAACTCGTTTAATGTCAATTCCTCACTCTCAAATGCGTTTCTGATGAGTTGTTGATACTTCCCAAACAAAGTCTGAAACACTAAAACCGCGAGTTGTGCAACTTCTTGTGGTGGGATGAGTACATTAAGTAACGGCCCATAGAAGTCTCCCACAATTCTTGCAATAACAGCAGAAAATTCCTTTGTAGTACTCAAGTCTGCTTTCGAAAATAATTCCAAGAAGAACACAAAGTTTCCCGATATCAATTGGAAGACCATCACAAGTTGTTGTTGTGTGATTTGCACTTTCCCCGCCACTATTTGTTTTACTGGAAACTCCTTTTCTACGGCAACTAATATCTCAGAGAGCGTCGCACCCACCAAATTACAGACTTTTTCAAACTCATCACTCGCAGGGGGGATGTTGTGAGGAATACTGTTATTAATATTGAGTTTCTGTAACAATAGAAACTTCTGAGCCCCTGGCATACCCTTCGAAACTATCGCCTGCAGCACATTAACACCAGTGGAAAAGAGTGCTGGGACTTGGAGTGATGCAAATAAGCACCTCATGAATGCCTCATTCGTACTGAATGAAATGTCCACCCATGGAATATATGACGAGAAGACAACAAGTGCCTCTTTCGTGTATTTTTGGTTCGTCATCGCTTGGAAAAGAAATTGGATCACCACACTAATCCCGTCTTTCCGAAACTCGTCCTTCTGTCGGTTATACATCTTGCATTCTTATTAATTAATAGTAATTATATTATTAATATATAGTAAACAAACGACTGCATTTGAGAGGGGTACCAGGGTACTAAATGCCTTCGACTTCTCTATAAGTGCCTCATTGATTTCATCCAGCAAGACGAGCGTCGGGTAACACTCATTTTCGTTCGAGACTCCTCTAATGATAAGAATGATGACTTGAACCAATAGAGTTGGTGTGAGTGAAGGGTTTGTTAAGAGGAGATTGACTCCCGTTTGAATCGCCTTCTTAAGAGCCATTCCTGGTTGTTGTTTAATTGCCCAATTTAATAAATTCTTTGCGGTCGCCAACCGAAGTTCGTCATTAAACAATTGATAATTTTTGGTGGTCGATTCTATCGCCTTTAACGCAAAGTAATACACTAACTGAACACTCTCCGGTTTCAGTTGACTCGACGGAATTTGAAGAATTTGTGTCGCTATGTTAAATGACGCAGGATTCTGCTCAAACTGAATCAAATACGCCTCTGCATTCCTCCGGGTCTGCGCGTTAGTGTAAGCTACAACCGCCTCAATAAAAGCCTCAGCCATATCTTATTTAGTCCTCTTTTTTTCTGTTTTAAACTATATTATTATAGTAAATTAATTATAATTTGTAGTTTATTGAACAAAAAACTCAAATATGATATTTTCTAAGTATTTTTAATTAACAAATTTTAATAAACAATTTAAATAAACAATTTGTTCATTTCATAAACAAATTTGGAGTTAAATAAGACGGAACAGTTTTTTTCTTTGGATGATTGAAAGATAAAAAGAATGGTTTATTTATAATAGAATTATAGTATAGAAATATACTATAATGATATAGTATTATATAATAATACAAAAAGAAAAGAAGAGTACAATACAATAAGTCTAGCAGCATCCTCCGTCTTCTTTATTTTGTACATTTCCTATTGGGATTGGTTCCAGTCCTTCATCGTTACCACCTTTTTTATACGCTGAAATTGCTTTGACCATTTCCACAAAGAGATCAGAAACTCCATTAGAAGTCGCAGCACTTGTCTCGACATAAGTATACCCTCTCCCAACAGCCCATTGTCTTCCAGTTTCTTCAGATACCATCCGCGAGTCTACATCAACTTTATTTGCGGCTATTACTATAGGCACCTCTTTTGAATTCACACCTTTCTCAAACTCCCCAATCCATCCAGAAATGTCAGTGAATGAAGGTGGACTTGTGACATCAAATACCACTATTGCACCATCACTTCCACGATAAAATGAATTCACTATACTACTAAAACGTTCATGTCCTGCAGTATCCCACTACCTCTTAACATTTCATTTTATTGTTTAAAGCACTGAACTGAAGTAGAAATAAACAAACAATTTGTAAAGAATAATCCCTTCCATCTACATTCACCGTTTTCGCTGTTTATTATTTTCAATTAATATAGTATACTTATAATTATAATTATAATATTGTATAAAATATTTGAAGAACATTCAACGAAAACAAATCTCAAACCAAGAAAGTCACACCCAATGGTAGACTTGTAGATCGGGTCAAACTTGTTCGTAACAAATCTTTGGATGATCGAAGTCTTCCCAACACCAGAAGATCCAATGAGAATGATTTTGAGCATCTGAGCACTCCCTTTCATGAAAAGTTAATCTGGAATTTATAATTTCGATTTTTCTTTTTTCTTTTCTTTTTACTTTTCTTCAATACATACACAATAAATACTTTGGAATGTCGTTACTATAATTTATAATAAATCAATTATTTATTATAACTTTTTTTAAACAAGTTCAATTCTATTCTTTTTCAATAAATAAACAAACAATTTTCCCGTTTCTTAGCAATAAAAAGATGTAATTAGTTATTTAAAAAGTTTTTCAAATAGTTTTTTATTCGTTTGAAATTTTTACAATTTTGAAAAAACTTCTTCTGTTTTTTCATTTTTTTAATTGAAATTAGTAATTATGATATTACTGTACCATTTTTTATTATAACATAATACATTTTTTTTTGTTAAAAATATTGTATTATTTTATTAATTATAATAATACAGTAATTATTATTAGTGATGAGATATAATAATAATTCTTATAATAATAAGAACTATAACTCCAATTGACAATATTTTGAATTATAGTTCTTATATTGACACTTATTAATATATTTATAATATGAGAAGTAAACTATAAAATATTAATAAAATAATAATAATTAGTGATTGTTATACAAAATTGATTGTAACGAACTAACGACATCTGAAATCACTACCATGTAAGTCATTTCTCATTATTACCAATAGTATCAATTATAATAAAATATAGTTAAAAACAAACGAGGTCGATTTTTTCGTTCTTGTTCCCAGCACATATTAATTAAGCACACCACGTCCATGTCAATGCACCCGCTTAATTGAGGTCTTCCGCCGTCTGCGACAAATTTCGGGATCCCCACAAAATTCATCCCATCAAATGGGTCGTTCCACTTGATTATGTAACACAGAGTCATTCCAAATGAATAGACATCGGCCTCCATTCCATACTTCTCACCCAAATAGACTTCCGGCGCCATAAATGCCAACGTTCCGATTTGTTTAGTCAGCGTGAGTGCTGTTTTATAGAGTGATATAGCTCTTGCCGACCCAAAATCAGTGAGTTTAGCATTGACTATTTCATTCTCCTCCTCAGAAAAGATCAAGATGTTGTCTGGTTTGATGTCTCTATGCAACGTGTTATTCATGTGTAAGTACTCAATCCCTTTTGCCGCATCATACATGATCTTTAGTTTCATCTTCTCGTTCAACTCTTTCTTCTTCTTTTCAATGAACGTTCGGAGACTTCCTAACGGAGCCAATTCAAGGACAATCGACCACTTCTCAAATAGAGTCACTCCTCCATAATAATGAACGATATTCGGATGTCTCAAGTTTTCCAAGATTTTGAGCTCCTGTCCAAACTCTTCAATGTGTTTTGCCAATTCGTTGTTCTCTTTCAACACAAAGATGTCTCTGATCTTCTTAATCGCAACGGAATTGTTTTTATATCGACCTTTCATGACAACCCCAAACGCTCCACATCCCAAGAGTGACTCTTCCACAATATCGTCCGGGTCGATTTTACTTGTCTTTTGTGTCTGAATGTATAAAGGGACTTTGAAGACGTTTTGTTTCGAGTTATATATTTCAAAGGTGACAATGTTAATGGAATCCTCGATGGTTGTGCTACAATAGGGGTGAACCTTCACATTGATCTTGATCGACTTTTTTCCGTCAAGAAGAAACGTCGATGGGGTGTATGTGATCGAGTACTTCTCCATCTTTTTCTTGATGCTAAAAATGTCGATTTTAACGAGTTTAGCGTACCCATTCGCAATAACAAATTCAAAATGACTATCTTCGTCGACGGGAATACATTCGCTTTCATTCATCACTTCTATCATCTTCGTGTTGATATAAAACTTCTTGTCAGAGGACAGGCGATGCCACTTCCTTCGTATTTCTTTCTCATCAAACTTTTCAAGAAGAACTTGGTATTCCCCTCCCTTCTTCTCTTTGTTGATCAATACAAATATGGTTGTTACTGCAAAGATCCCAAGTAACGTGATGAGTATCGAAAACACTATTAATAGAATCCACGTCACTTGTAACTCACAGTCTTTACCATCGGCACTCACAGAGAACATCGTTGAACATTTCAAACATGTCACACCATCCGTTTGTATACATTGTGACACTTTAGTACAATCGTGAGTGTCAGATAAGACATAGCCATGTGTCTCACATCGCTCACATCGACCAGAAGACACGTTACATACTTGACAATGATTGTCTAAAACATCACAATATTGACACCGTTTGCCTAAGAGATAATACCCTTTAGAACACTCTTGACACCCTTCTATGTCCGTTTTAAAACAATTCGTTAAATCACTTCGAGCCTCACACTCCCCTGTTTCGTTCACAAAATTGAACTCGTTGCACGTCACACAATGAGACACTCCTTCACATACCCGACACGATGGAGTGCACCGTGTACACACGCCATTATCTAAGTAGTAATATATCGAACACGACGAACATAACGTGTTTGGACCAACTTGGGCGTAATACCCAGTGCATTCTTCAAAGATCACAGACAGCGAAACACAGTCGCCGTTGTTAAAACTGTACTCCGGACCACATTTTAAACAACGAATTGATGAGTCAATACATTCACTACAGGCAACACTACACTCTTACAATCAGTTCTTAATTAATTCGTTATCAATTGAAAGAAAATCAAACTTACACATATCCCAAACGAAACGTAGTACCCACTCTCACATGTTATACATCGACTTTTAACAGAAAATGCACAATGCGGTTGCGGTGTTGGTTTACAAGTGACTCTTGTGCTTTTGTCTGAATAATAGAGATAATACCCGTCTTGGCATAATGCACAAATACCATCATCAGTACATACAAAACAATGTTCTTCACATGTCACACACAACTTACCGTTAAAATAGAGCGTAGTATTCACACATCGCGAATTGTTTAAGTCTAAACTTCCATCACTTCGCTTGCACTTGTTATCAGTTGTTATGGAATACCCCTCAAAACAGATGTCGCACTCACTCATCTGCCCAACCAATGACAAATAACACACACGACAACCTTCATCGCACGGTTCACACGTTTTGTCTCGAAGATAATACCCATTTTCACATTCAACTGTTCCGTTGTTCACAACAAAAAGACTATGCTTTTGATACACACACACTCCTCCTATCATCGAATACCCCAAACTTACATCACATATCAAACACGACGATTTGTCGGTGCACAAAAGACAGTGCTCAATACACATATCACAAAACTCACCATTAAAAAAGGTGGTGGGTTCACACTTCAGACAGCGATTACTCCAACTGTATTGACAATTCATATCTTGAACCTCACAAACAGTTTGTTCATTCACCACCCCAACGATATGATTTGATGTACATATCGCACAACTCGAGTTATCAATACACCGTTCACACAACTCTTCACATTGGACACACCCATTTGCAGTCTTGAAAAACCCGACATCGCATGATTGACAACTTCCGTCAATATTATAATTCACACACTTCGTTTGTTCTTCGACTTCTAAACACGTTCCGTTGATATAAAAGCGACATCCAATAGCGTAAACAGAATCACCCATTGAAACTACTCCTTGGTATTTCCCAGTCCGTGTGACATTAAACTCGTTTTTTAGTGCACTGTAGTAGTATTTACTCGTTTCAAATGTGCTTTCAAATCCATCGCCAAAGCCTTGGTCTTCCCCAACAAGTATATACGACTCGGTCATGTCATTGACGACAGTGTACTCATGAAACCTTTCTTGTGTCAATTGGAGGATTGTATTGTTCCCCAACAATACAAGTCGTTGAAGGTTCTCGCCAATGGACAGTATTATTTCTTTGTCTGTGATATTGATATTACAGTCGACGGGAACGGAAATTTTGGTGTAATCCTCATCAAGTGACATTGTGTACGTGTCCGAGCGTATCACCAATTCTCTTACTACACTTGTAGAAACCCCACCGGGACATGAATAGTCGGTTTCGTTGTTTAAGTCGTAATAAACGGAATTCCCAATGTAGACGCACGTCTTTTCAGAGACTCCAAATTTGGTGCACGTTTCCAAAGTCTCTGTGACGTTTCCAATGACAATAAGTTGTCTGTCGCACACAAATTGCGCATCAAAAGCTTCGACATTGATCTTTCTGACATTTGTCTTGGCCAAAAACAGTACGTCGGTGTCGATCAGACGTGGCAATTGTTTGATCGTTAAAGATGAAGACCCTCTTTCGATGTTTAATAGTACAGCGTCGTGAAGTGTTGTGTAACACTCTTCCATTGAAAACACACTGACGTCTTCGTGTATTAATATTCCCTTTTGTTCTACAATGACTCGAGACAAGTACACCTCTCCTTTCATAAACTCCGCGTTGTTACATTCAAGTGAAAACGGTGAGTTCCTTTCGTCGTAAATGATATTGTAAAACACAATATGTGAAGTGGACGCTATTTTATTGTTTCGGTGTATCTTCAATTCGAGAATATGGACATTCATTGTACCTATAATTTGTAACGAAGACTCGTTTTGAAGGACTAAACTGTTCAGTGTCAAGTCGTTGCTCGCGTCTTTTGTATATCCATACACTTCATTAAATAATAATTTTTGGCTATTTAAAGTAAATATACTCCCTTCAAACACTTCAACGTATTGCGCATAAACAATTCCAAATATCGAAGTGATCCCGCGGGCTTGGATTGAAGTGGAATAAAGGGGGTCGACCACTGAGACTATTGCAGAATGAAATGTCATGATGTCACAAGTAATTTCCTTTAAAAAGGAAACTGATGTGTAAAAGTCGCAGACGCGAGCTCGTATTTGCGACGACACAAGAACATTTGGTTGGACAGTCAATGAGTTGAAATACACACATTTCTGAGTGTTATAATTACTGTTGGTGTATACAATCAAGTCGATTTTGTTACTATCAAACCCACTAATATACTCACAATCGTTTTCTATATATTCACTGATGTTAAATCGGCAACTACATGTGATTAAAGAGTCCAATGTTCCATATCTGAACCCAACTCCAGTGTCACATAACTTTTTAATTCCTCGTGTAGTATTCGCTACTTCATTCTTTGACAAGAAGAGTACTCTTTCACTACAGTTGTCACATACAATTTCATTTGCTAGCAAATTTGAAAACACGTTGATTTGGTTTTTACACGCATTTCTCGAAAAAAAGAGGGACTCAAAAGAAACGTCTGTCTGAAAGACAACAGAACGATTTTGAATGACCACTTGCTCTAAAAAAATGATCAAAAAATGACCAGAAAACGTCACATTTGCTTCGACGCAAGATTTCGTGTTCAAGACTAGACTCTTCCAAGAGTACAAATTTGGGTCGTCAAAAACAATGATGTTCTGCGTTTCGAGGACCGTCAAGTCAAACATCCTGTTATATACTTTACAGTCCGGAAACACAAAATTAGACGACGTTGAGACTTCCCTTTCATTTCCAGAGAAGATACACGAGCAGTCGACACTCTCTGTACTATTTCTAGAGCGTGCCACATATCGTGCTTTTTCGTCATATTCACACGCTTTGAATAGATCGTATTTCTCCGATTTGATACTTACAGAGTCTATTCCTATTCCAGTGAACACATATATGATTTCAGAGCTCCCTTCATTGTACTCTGAAATGTCTTTGACTTGTTGTTTCCCACTTAAACTTTCTATTAATACAAATGGGCGTTGTAAATAGGTGTTATACTTGTGAGTTAAAGCGATGGAGTCATTCCCTGAGATCGCCGTGTATACACTGTAACTCGATATAATGAACTCTATTTCTTTAGTACTCCCAACACTCTCTCTCGTTGAATTGATTTCTAACAGAAACGAAGAGGGGACAAAAGCATAATTGAACGTCCATTTCACGGATGGGTACAACACGTTGATTATCAATTTCCTCATCATCGTGGTGCTTGTTTTCCACTCAACCAATTTATCAATGAAATTGTTGTTGTGAGAAACAATATAATAATCCTTTTCATTTCGACAACAGTCGCCATAAAACGTGAACAGGTCTTGTGTAGTTTGATACGCAACTTTCCACCCATACCCCTTGTTACAGTAAACTGGATCAATTCTGTCATCTGTGTGATAATCTATTATATTGTCTGACTCTATCCAACATGTTGTCGCCATCGAACATAATATGATTAGAATAAGAAAGAAAAAGACGGGTTTCTTTTTCATGAGATGATGACTAAAAAAGAAGTTTTGTTGTATTTCCTTGTTATTATTTTAAGTTATAAAGTAAAAATACACTTTTTTAATATAAATTAATATTATTTTACTATATCTTTCCTTTCAACTTTATTTTAATATGATAATTATAGTTGATACTTTTGTAACATGAATATTTGTGTGTTGTTTTGAAAAAAACACTTTTTATAATTTATTTTTTGTTTAATTATTATTATTATATTGTTATAATTAAAATTTCAATATTTATTTTATTTTTGTACACTTTTTGTTTTTGTAATTAGAAAAAAATCATTTAAATGTAAAACATTAATAAATAAGTAATTTTTTGTATAACATTATTTGGAATAACATCAATACATGAATGAAACAATTTTTTTTTATAAAACATAAGTTAATAATAATTATTGTTAAACAAACTTAAATTCAAATTTTTATTAACAATATTTTTAATAATTTATAATTCTACTTTTTCTTTTTTATGTTGTAGTAATTATAGAAATCAAAACACTTTTATCTTTTATCGATCAAAAAGATAAAAAGTTGAATTATAATAACTTTTTTTCTTAACCATAATTTCATTAGATTAGATTATTTAATGATTTTTTACTTAAAATAATGGGTTAAACGATATTATCATTTTTTCATTTTCATTTTTGTGAAATTATTTTAATATGAATTTTTGGTGACATAGCATTGATTTCATTTATTAAAAATGTGACACTATTTCAATTGCTTCCCGATCGATTACAAATTAAAGAACTGTGAAAAACCAACAAGACTTTAACACACCCATTTTGGAAATAAACCATTAATATATTATTTTTAGTACCAATACATAATTAATTATTATTCCAATTATTTTTTCAATTTAACCATTAGCAATGTAAACAAGTTCATATATTTTTTTTTCTCAAAACGAAAAAAAACGAAATAAAAATAGCTGCAAAAAAAATTTACAACTTTTTCTTTGAACTTTCCTTTCGTTTTTCATACCATAACCTATATTCAAATAATATTTAATATTATATATAAACTATATATTCAAGATTTGCCCTCGCTGAAATTTCAAGGGCCTTTTCTCTGTAGTCCAAAATATAAATATCTATGAATTTTAACCCAATTTAAAACTAACAAGCAAAATTGAATCTTCTTTACTAGTTTTGGTAACGGAACCCGACTCTCCCATACTAATGCGTTAAAAGTGACTAACATACATAGAAAAACACCAACGAAAAGACCACAAAGAAAAACAAAGAGGGTAATTTAATATGACACAAACATTTTTCCGTATATGAAAAAAAAAGATAATTAGAACCATTCAGAACCATCTGCAATTGTTCAATGTCGTGAAGAATTCGTAAATCGGATTAATGAAGAAATCTACAACTAAAAACCATAATGAAAAACCTGTTCTTTAAGCACAAGCAAACCATCGCTAATTTGTACTTCGAGAAAGTCAGTAACTGGCTCACCGAATGTCCAGACATCCAAGACATCTCCACTGATAAACTCTCGCTTCACCTTACGGAGACCAAAGACTCTTCCGACATATCCGTCTGCCAACCCACCAAAGCAAAAATAATAGTTGCAAACGCAGGGAAGAAAACAACGCAAATTTCCTTTGAAAAAAACATGAAAAGCTCTTCGCGATTTTCGTTTCGATCGGAACCCTCGACTCTTAAACTTCGCCCAAATGAGGCGTTTGAGTTTACTCTTGAATTTACACCACTTTGCACCTGTAAAGTGTCCGAAGCTATTTTTTTGGTGACAACAACAAAGAAGCTGGTTCAGAAACAGCCCGTCAAGGTCGAGTTTCAGAGCAAAAAGAGTCTTTCTGTCGACTATCAGGATATTGACGAAAAGGAGTTTCTCGGCATCAATGAGTTCAAAGACTTTGTGTGGCGCGGGAAATTCCGAGGTTGTGATGTTGTTGTTGATAACAGGTCTGATGAGTCTAAGGTGTTATTTGAGCGTGAAATTGGGATATTAAAAACACTGAATTATCAGTACATTAATTACTTTGTTGGAGCTTGCCATATCCCACATCATGAATGTATATTAACTGAAGACAATGGTATTGGGACATTGAAGGATGTCATTCAGTTACACGCAATGCCAGAGTTGTCTGTCAGAGTGAAACTTTGTCTTGATATAGCAAAAGGATTAAATTTCATTCATAAGAATAACGTCATTCATAGAGACATTAAACCGGAAAATATCAACGTCATCTCTTTACTCGATAAAATGGAAGTCAACGCTAAGATCTCTGGGTTCTCAAAAGCTCGTACGTATCAGGCCTTTAAGTCGTGCGACAACTTCTCAGAAGAAGTTGGAACCCCTTTATATATGTCTCCAGAACTCGCAAATCATAAGAATTACTCGACGGCAACGGATATCTTCTCTTTTGGTATTACTATGGTCCAAATACTGACTTGGGACTTGTCAGTCAATGCTAATGGGTCAAGAAAATTACTTAAGGAAGAACAATTTGAAAACAGCTTTGTCCCTTCACAATTAACTCGTGTAATCCTTGGCTGTCTTAAAAAAGACCAGAAACAAAGAGTTACTATCGACACAATTTTGTTATCTTTGAGAGAGAACAATCACACTATTTTGTAAATGTATTTTTATTTTGTTGTCTCGTTTGTACTATTTTTTAAACTAAAACCTATTATTCTTATTGTATTATAGCTGTTCGGCGACTTTACAGTTTCTTTAAAAATCGCCGACTTTTTAGTGGTCTTAAAAGTCGCTGACCTAAATATTTAGTTAAATAACTATTCAGAATACCATTTATCATGTAAAAGATATTGAAAAAATAAACCATATAAATCTAATATAATTATTATTAAAAAGTAAAATGAAACAATACCGTCCCAATTATATCTTCTCAAATCATTTTTTAAATTATATTTATATGATTATAATATAACAAATTATAACAACTAATGTGTTTTTACACATTTTTGAGACTATAATGAATATGGTATAATTTATTAAAGTTAATAGTTATTTAGTTCTAAAAGAAGTCGGCGACTTTTGAAGGGACTCAAAAAGTCGCCGACTTCTCAGTAATATCAAAAGTCGCCGAACAGCCATTAATCAAAAACATTTGTAAAAAGAATTATAATTATATTATAATAATATTATGTTATTAAATAAAAACAATCAAAAAATACAATATTTTATAATATTTATATTAATACTATTATTTTATAATATTATAGTATTAAAATAATACTATTAAGAAAAATGTTTTTGAAAAAAGATTTGTTGACATTTTAATGGTTGATTACACTAGAACTAAAATTTATATTATATTTTGTTATAAAAATATAAAAATATATTTTTGATTTGTTCAATTAAGTTTAGATGAATTAGAACATTTTGCTACAATTATTTTTATTGCAAGTAAAAACACCCAAAAATTTCGCCTTTTTCAAGCAAATAAAACAAATCAATATCTTTTTTTAAATTCAGTTAAAAACTAACTTGAAAAAAACACATAAATATATTTCAAGGTACTTCGAATGAAATCTATTGTATAACTATATTCTATCATATTATATTAAAGAAATAGCATTGAGCCATATATTAATCTATTTATATAATAGAGCTATAATACTTATCATCTAATGAATGAAATAAGATGGTATTATTTAGTCAATCAATAACTAAGCCAATAAAATACAACTCGAAGCGAATTTATTTCAATTGTTATATTCTAAAAGCCCCGAAGATTAGCTTCAAACCAATTGCGTATTGCTCACTTCAAATTTCAAGCCAGAAAATGAATGATGAAAAATAAAGTGAACTTAAATACCCTTTGTACGCCAATGGAGGAGAAGGTCGACAAGGAGAAAAAGAAGAAGCACGGGTTCTTCTCCTTTCTGAAGCGAAAGGCAAAAGACAAAAGCAAGGAAGTCAAGGACGCATCGAAGGACAAAAAGGGTGACACGAAGGATCCCAAGCGGCGTTCTGTGATGGTGACAGACAAAAAAGAGCAGCAACGGCTCGACCGCATGTCTATAGCTACTCCCGTCAACATCAATGCGTTGATGAAAAACCTTCCCGACTGGCAAGAGTCTACACGTAAAGTTATTAAAGACGGCAAATTAGAGACTTTTCCCATAGCTGGGGACTTACCTCGATTATTGAATCACTTGTCTATAGTTAGAGAAGTCTCTGAAGGTAATTATGACACGTTATTCCCCGATGAGTCTGCTGAGAAGACACAAGCGCCGAAGGCGGGGGATTGTTTCCAAGTCATTAAGTGTATCTGTACACTCTTTGAAGGAGATGAGCAGTGTGCCAAGATTGAACAGGAATGGAACTCGACGATGGCAAATGATGAAGATATGAGTGTGCAGAAGACCTTTCTGATAAGGATATTAACAAAAGTATTTCTTGAGGATGGCCAACAAAAAGACGTTAGTCCGGTGATCACTTTTTTGAAAGCAATTAACCAAAAGATCATCGCAAATTCTACACTCCATTTAAAGATGGTATGTGGCTCGTTACTCTTCAAAGATTCTCGTTTGTTCGTTCGATCAAATGCGTTACAAATTCGTTCTTATCTGTAGATCCTATGTTTTGGGAAGTGGCGTGTATTCTTCAAGATAAAACTTATTTAATTCATTACAGAAAACAAGAATCGACAAGTAAAAAGGAAGACGAATATTTCCAATTCATGTGGGAACTCCGGCTTGTGTTCTCTTCCGGTCTTACACAATTGGAGGAAGTTACTATGGGGATTTCCTCGATAGAATTCAGACCAGAAACACGAAAAGACGTAAGAGACAATGTCCTCGATACACTCAAGCCTATTTTGTTTACGGACGTTGAAATCAAAGACGTTCTTGCTTCCGAGTAATGTGTTTCTGAATTAAATGTGTTTTATTGTCTATTTGTACTATTATAAATAACTATACTAGTTATTTATACTATTTATACTATACTATTATATTTGATTATGCCAAGTAAAATACATATTTAATTGTTTATATCGGAATTATTAATTATGTTATTATTTTAAATTTTATTAATATCTTTATAATTTATTTTATGAGTTATAAAAAAAATTATTTGATTTTGGGTGGAATAAAACTTTTTAACAAATAAGCAACTATTAGATTAAGCAAATTTAGTTGATTCAAACAGTTAAATGTTTTATGGAGAAAAAATATGGAAAAAAAAAGAAATAATAGTAAGTATTATTTTAAAAATATATTAAATTATAGTAAATGTTATTATGTTATGTTTATTTTTAACACTATTTTAATATTTTAATACACAGTGGTTTATTTTACCCAAATTAGTTTTATTTTTTTGAATAACAGTTATATAGTAAGTATACCAATAGTATATAGTTCGGCTTAGTTCCTTTATCATTCGTTTTTTTTGTTGTGAAATTTCTTCTTCTTCTTCCGTGTTATTGATATTAAAAACAAAATTTAAAATAATACTAAAATTTTCTTAACAAGTGGAATAATTCGAAATTAAGTTAACGAAATATTGAAAAAAGACGATGAAAACAAAATTGAAGAAAACGAACTCCAAAAATCCCGAAAAAAAGCTCAAAAACGGAATAATCTGAATAAGTTGAAAACCGACAAAAAACGCCTTTTTGTTATGAATTGTTTTTTGAACCATAGAAATCTGGCTATGAATTGAGCGACCCGAAATCCATACCCTTTTTTATTGGTAACAATCCTGTTTTCTCGTGCACAACGATGCCGTTATTTTAATACAATAAAAACAAAGGAATATCTAATGAGAAGTAAAAAACAATATTAGGAGGACTCGTTTTTAGTAAGAGCACGAAAAAAGGATAAGAAAAAAATCCACGAATTGTTTGTTAGACCTTCGCTTGTTTTTCGGGCATTTTTAAACTATTGTGCAATATTTTAATTGTTCTTTTTACCCCAAGTCTAGTACATTTCCCGTTAATTCCCACTCTTTTTTGCTTACAAAACCGCAATTTCACAAGGAAGCATGAATTTATAGAAGCGAATAATCCCGTCCTTTTACACGTAAAAGTGTGAAAAGAAGAGCAAAACATGCGAAAAAACGGATAGGGGTATAGTTTCAGGAAAACGCATACAAAGATGACAAGGCAAATGGGTTTATGGAAACTCCAAAGCTTGAATAAAAGAGAACTGCAAAGTAAATATAGCATGTCCAGAGAGTACCAATCTCACAAGGTCATGACGGAGGACTATCCGAGTGACTTTGAAAGTCATCGAGGTCTTGTCAGTGAGTTCAACAAGATATGGGCTGAGCAAGAAATGAAGTGGAAAGAACTTTTCGACAATCGTCCGATGACCACAACAGGAAACTTCAAGTATTGGCATGAGAAAGAACACATCCGATTTCTTGTGTGTATTCAATACTTGAATGCCACAAAGTGTGGAGGGTTACCTGTACAACAAATAGCAGCTTATATAGGTACACGCAATTCCATTCAAGTCAGAACACATGCACAAAAGTACTTTAAAAGCTCCAAAGCGACTTCCACACAAGTCCAAGAAAAGGTCAAGTGTATTCTCGATAGAGATGTACTGTACCTCGCTTCTCTTTTCGCATCCGCTAAAAAGAAAAAAACAAATCTGTAAGTTAGTGTTTCTGTTGTTGCGTTTGTTCAATTGTATTATAATACTATTATTATATTATTATTATTACTATTTTTTAATCACCTTAACTCGTCCAATGTTTTAGCTACTATTTCTGGCTTTTTCAATTACCCTCTTTTCTATTGCAGGGTTTCATTAATTCATGTAATTAGTAGGAATATTAATGTTAGGTTTAACTATTTAATAACTAAACAAATGTTAATTTTAAATATGGATTGTAATACTATTAATAATGGTTTATAATAACAATAATAAATACAAAAATAATTTAATTTATTTTTATTAAAAAAGTTTTGTTGAATAATTAAAAATTAACTATATTTCAATAATTAAATATAATAAAATAAAAACCCAACTAATTTAGATGTTAATTATATTAGACTTATAAATAATACTATGAATGATTTTCAACAAAATCTAAAAAATAATATAAATATATTATATAGTAACCAACACAAAAAAATGTAAACTAGTTTATATAATAGTAATAATATAATACTACTATAGTTACAAACACAAGATACTTATTATTCAAGAACTTCCATAATTCAATGCAACCAGCAGAAGACGCTGTACAACGCGAGTTCAAATATCTTGTTCTTAACTATTTACAAAAAGAGGCTGATGAAGTTTCTGCGAATGCGTATGCGTCATGTACAAAGATATACTTTGACAAAGACTATTTTCTTCGTCTGATTGTCACCGACCAAGTCGAAAAAGCGGACGAGTTGTTAACGCGATACGTCGAGTTTGTTAAAAATTCAATTGTATTATTATTACTAATTCAAGTGTTCTATAAAAGGTACAAATATATCGACACACAGCATCAAGAATGAAAGTGAGTTGTTAGCGCTTCTTGAAGTCAAAAAGTTCTTACTTTTCCGATGTGTTTTAGAGAACAATTTAATACAAATCCGAACAATTGTCGATTCGTTAAAACTGATCGAAGGGGGCAACAACATACACGTCAGGATGTTACTTACAAAACTTTTTTTGGATGTCAACCCATTCACCGACGAAGCATTTCAACCGTATCTCACACATGACATATTCAGAAAGACTGTGTTAGGTCCTCGTGTACTTTTATATTTGGAGAAGAGTCCAAATTTCCAGAATATAATGACATTACCACCAATGCAAGATAATATTCTCAAGAAACTCGTGTCGAACGGCGTCAGGTATGACCATATCAAAATTTGTTCCGGGAAGCCTAGTGATAAAATCGAGATTCTTTCATTGTTGGAACAAAAACACAGTTGCGATGGGAAGAAGTAAAGGATTGATTCATTGTTATCTTTGTGTTTTCTTATTATTTCATACTTATAGTTAATATAATTATATTATTTGGGTGTCTTACTGATCCATATTTATATAGTATATTATAATTAATATTATAGTATTATGAATATTACTATAATATAATAATATATTATTATATTAATATATTACTATTATTATAATTATAGTAATACAAGTGAAGTAGACAATGAAATCAAATTACATCACTTTAACAGCAGTACCGTCCTCATACCCAACATAGAGAGTGGTGAAATCGTCTGAAAGTGATAAAGCAGTGACTTTTCCTTCATGAATATGATGCTGTTTAAGTAATTTAGGCTCATGTTGGTGCGTTGGACAATCGCCATCTCCCAGACAGATTGATTCGTCGAGTCTCCAGACATCAATAGTACCATCCGTGTGTCCAGTTAATAGAATATGCCCAGGGATCCACTCTGGAATGTTTGGTATTAAAGCTTCTGTTGGTGGATTACTCAATTGAATTGATTGAATGAAGTCTCCATTAATAGTCCAATGTTTCAGTAGTGTTTTACTTAACGTGACAATATCCCCCGTTTCCGTTTGAGTCTTCACAAGATGGATTTTCTCGCCATGGTTGAATGATCGGATGATTTTGTATGTGTGAAGATCCCACTCGATGATTTCGCCACTCTCATCGCCACTTACTATAATAGAATACTCTTTGCAGATGTCAACAGCTTCGACTGCGCGTTGATGGCCCCGCATACGTCCAATCTCTTTCAACCCATTTATAGTTTCATAAACTATAATAATACCATCACGGGTGCCACACACTATTCTACTGTCACAAACACTACACACTATCTTCCCGGGGGTGGAGACGTTTTCTATCACTCCATACGTCTTCCCATTTTGGGTCACAGTGATTGTTCCATCTTCCGTAAACGTCAACAACTTTCCTCCCTTCTCTATTGGGATGATCGACGGCAATCCAACAAAGTTCTGTTGTATCACAGAAAATGAGAGGACGGGGAAGTTGTGTTGTTTCGTGACAACAATATCCCAATTTTCAGCTAACAACACTCCGTACTGAAACCCTGTTTTCGGAACAGTTCTCTTCGGATGCGGCTGTTTGAATATTTGTATCGGAGTCTGCCCAAAGTTAATGATCATGTCCTCGTACGCCTTTTTAAGCTTCTCGTCGACAACACTCTTCATGTCGACACCTCCTTCATACGATGACGGGTGGAACAAATTGAGTGCCTTCAATGCGGCTTCTCCCTGTTGTTTATATCCAAAGATCAAGTCGATCCATTCGTGGAGATGTGCCGAGACATACGGCGATTCCAGCGCCATCATATTCGTTCTCACAAAGCGTCGGTAACTTCCTCGCGCCCACTTCGGGAGTACCACATCGTCGACTTGGAGCGTTCCGTCGTTTCTTTTCTTCAAGTCAAATTTGTCGAAGTTCCTCAAGAATTCCGGGAAGTAGAAAAACTCAGGTATAAGTTCCATCACTTGTTTCACTGTGGGTCCACTTAACAACTTCCAGAGGTCTTCAAGACTATTAAACAGTCGGTCAGCCAAATCGAAGCGACCTCCTTGCAACTCAATTCCAAAATGTGAGAATGGTTCGCATCGTATTAAATAGTACAATGTCACACCAACTGACGTATAATGTGATCCATAATGAAACGCCATTTCAGGGTTATCTTTGACTGCTTCAAAGCGTTCGATTGTATTCTCCGCTCGTTCTGGCGTGAGTGCGCCCATTGGTTTCGACAAGTCTCTGTATATCCGTTGGTCTTGAAGATTGATATTCTCACTCGAATAGTCCGCAATGACCCAAGGCATGACCGGATATTGCGTGACATCATTAAATGTACGTCCTGACTTCGTATTCAAATACATCAAATAATAGAAATTGGATATCTTCCCTTCTACCCACTTCGCAGTCATTGGATCCATTTGATTGAAGATCTTAAGTGGTGCTAAGATGGTCTTCTTCTCTTGATGGATACCACTAGTCATATCTTCTTGCTTCTGTTTGAATGGGGCAAGACTCTTCATAGCAGCCTCATATCCATCTTCAAAGATAATCAACTTATTCCGACCACCACTCACAAACAACTCAACTGCTATATTTCTTAACATGAACCGTCGAGATGCGATGTTTTGAATGTCTTCCGCCGGGATCCTTTCCGTCTTCACAGTCCCTTTCGCTATAATACTTTCTCGTCTCAGTTCAAGTCCTTCAACTACATACACTGCTTGTGTGCACACAATGAATATACACGAGATCTTGTCCATCCCATTGATCACAAAACAGTTGAATCGCGACTTCACATCATCTCCCGTCTCAATTAACCCAAAGTTCATATTCTTATTCAGTGACGTCTTCATCATCTTATATATATCATCTTCGCCACTAAATGTCCCACGCCTCTTATGTAAACTTTCTTCTATTTTTGGTGATGGAGTCATCGTATACGTCTCTGCTATTTCTACTTCATCCTTCACGACTAAGTACTCTGGTATTTCATAACTCTTGTCTTTGTGCATCTTATTCAACTCAACATCAATGAACCCATCTTTACTCGTCGTGCTGTATCGACTTGTAAAATCAGTGTCTCGAACAAGACGCTTCCGCATACGACATGGCCCCTCTACGTTGTCCAACGTCCACAAACAAGGGTTTCCATCCCACCAAATCCCTTTCTCTAAGAAAAGGGTCTCCGCAACAGCCTCCCACGCACCTTGACTCTGCGCGTGAATCGCTCTAAAGTGTTCGACAGTCTTTTCCGCCTCTTCTTTGATCAACACAGACACTCTCTCTCGAAGTTGTTTGTTTTTGTGTTGGATCTTTTTGATCGCTTCCAAGCATTGGACGTCACTTTGTTTATTCAAATTGATTCTGTCCGTTCTTCTTTGCTCCAAAGGTGTTTTAAATGAGCTTAAATGTGTTGATTCGTCCGTCATCCATTGCGTCGAGTACTTTAACAAGCACTCCACGTCTCCTTTCAGTACTTCGTCTTTATTAGTGATGATCCATTCAGTAGCATCGTTCGATGGCATATCCAGCAGTGCGACCAATCCATTCTGAAGGCTCGGACGTGTTTGGAAGATTTTATTGATCAAATTCGTTCTTTTAGAAATAACAGTGCGAATGAAAGAGCCAAGAGTCAACTGATAGACTCCATCGTTCTCATAAAAGATTCTTAAAACACCATGAAGAAGCATATGCACAAACTGTTCATTCGCATTCACTTCATTAAAAATGACCTCGACTTCTCGATTAATCATTTCGATAATACACTCAATCTCTTCTTGTTGGTTCCGGTCGAACGTCAATAATACTATCCGATTTAAGACGTCATATAACGGATAGATGCCTCTTCCTTTTCTCCCACTCAACTGCACTATTTTGATGTATTTGATGTCATCCCGTAACACAGAAATGAGCTCTTGCTTTCGTGTGACCTTCGTCAGTATGAAATCAATGCGTCCATTCATAAACAATGACATGTATGTCGAGACACGATCAATCGCAACATCCGCATTCAGTTGGTTTAACACAGACATCCCAATCCCCGTTAACATTTCCCCAAGAAACTCAGACTCTTCTTCTTCGCTTAAGAAAGAGGAGTTCTCATATAACAATTCGTGCGCTATCACACTCTTCGTCGGGTTTTGTATCATCTGTGTCGCAAACGCGACTCCCAGTCCAAACAGAAGTTTCCTATAATAGACTTCCAAGTCGTCTCCCATTTTGAAGTACCCATTCTCCCCCACAAATATTGAGATGTACTCGCTCAAACACTCAGCAAAGACGTAATTGTAGATCTCTGGCTTCTCCATTAAGTCGCATATAACACCAGAAGTCAGTTCAATAAGTTCAACCATTTTCTGGTCTTTCTCTTTATTGTATTCGACCATTTGGAGTCTCAACAGTTTAATAATTGAAGAAATGTACTCAGGGGATTGTACCGGTCCATTAGAAAATGGCATCTTCTTGTATTGCGCAAATGTCGACGAACTCACATCGGGGACGATTTGATTCGTGATTAACCCCAACAACGAAAAGACCGTTTCCGTCGAGTCTACACATCTTTTCAGTTGATATGTAACAAACAAGATCCCTTTGTCTTTCACAAACTGCGACGAAAAGGTGTTTTTGCTTTGACTCGCAACAGCCATGAGTGACGCCGCTACTTTGAGTGTTAACAGCAAAATGGACTTTGGGATGCTCTGTGCCGAAAAGATATGGAACAACACAGCTGGCGTGAATACACTCAGAAGCACTTGTTTGTCCTTTAAGTTTGTAGCCAGGCACAGAACAAGCTTCATCAGTGATATGAATCGGATTTCCGTCTTCTTTAAGAGTGTTGCAGTCGATGTCTTCGAGTCGATGATTGAGATGAAGTGGAAGACCAATCGAACAAAGTGTTTGACATCATCTGTCGTGCAGCTATTCAGCAAAAAGTGTTGAAGAAGGTTGATAGTGATTTGGATGACTTCATCGTCGACTATATCGTCTTGGAATAAGTCGATTAATCGCGACAAGAAGTGTAACGACCGTAATATCGAGATGTTCACTTGCGCGTATTTGTTGTTATAGATCAGTGACACAAACGATTGTAACACATACAAAATCACCGTCTGCGGATTCTCAAATTGGTAGAACAGTGAAAAGTCGAGGACAAGCGTGTCGAAGATCTGTGGAGATGCAATAACGGCAGAGTCTCTTTTGCTCGGGTCCACCCCTGCAAACGACAACAACACAAGCAAGGAGTCGGTACTCATCAACTTCGCCTTCTTGTATATGAACAAATTGAGTAACTCAAACCCTTTGATTCGCTTCATTTCTCTGAACAATCCTTCGCTCTTTCTTAATGCAGCCAACAGGAGTTTAAGCGACTTATTCATTTTATCCGGAGTGTCCGATTTGAGTATTAACGCAAGTAAAACAACAACCCCGCCCACTTGGAATATGCCATCAGTCAAGTCGTTCGGAGAAGCGGTATTAACTGTCCCAAACGTGGTGCATGAGTTCATCGCAAAATTCGAGAGAATGTGATCCGAGTTCACCACCATCGACGGGACGGGGATATTCAAATTCAACATACTCAGCGTGAACGTTCCCACGGTCGAGAAACTTTGAATGACATTGACATCATTTTCGTCGTAATTCGGCAACACTTCATATTGGGAATAGTCCGTCGTCTGAAAAGTCCCTTGATACATCTCTCCAAGTAAATACAAGTCCCTCACTTGTTGGTCATTCAACGCAAAATCAAGCATCTTGAGCGGTCCTATTTTAAACACCGCGTTTGGAATCACTTTATTCTCCTTCGAGTGGCCAATGACACATCTATACACCGTCGGGTTGAATGCTACTATCTTCTCTGTCGCTTTTAAGAGGCCATTCACATACAAAACTATCTTTTTACTCTTACATACAACACCAATGTGATTCCACTTCCTTGGAAGTTGGACTTTCTCAAACATCGTCTTGGCTCCATAGACCACTCGTAACCCTTCCGATGTCACCGATATCGAAAGCCCATTTTGCTCAATCCCATTCACCACCTGAAGTATTTGGAAGAGGTACAACTCGCTATTTATCATTGGCAAGTTCGTCCACAGAACAATCGAAAATTGTGGGAGGGGAAACATCGACTTATTGATGGGGACGGAAATGCACGAATACCCAATCGGCGCCGTGTTAAAACTCAACGCGCCATTTCTGTCCGATTTCATCACAGAGTCCAAAATGCATTGAACTATTCCTTCATCATAAGGTTGTGCTTTCAATGTTTTCAGCAGCACAGAGACGTCTTCCTTCTTGATATCGTACGATATCAGCTGGACCAAAAAGTCCAACACGTTTTGGTGCAACTCGCTTTGTGTTTTGATGTCTTCAATGAAGTCATTAATGACTGTACTCGTCAAGTTCTCTGCAGCCATTTTTCTGACGTTGACGTCTTCTCTTGCAATAGTCGACAAGAAGTTCAAGACTGATTTTTGTTGTTGAAGAGGGAGACTTGAGTGGACGGCTTTCAAGAGTGCGTGTAATACAAATGGGTGATAGATCAAGACTCCGCCCATTGGTTTATCAAAGAGTCCCAGTGCTTTGACCTTCTCGATGTCTGTGATTTCAAAGATGATTGCAATAAGTAGACAACACATCCGCTCTTGGTACTTCTCTTCTTTCAGAAACCCACAGTTCTCGACTATTCGATTCATGACGTTATTCTGTTTATATGTGTCATCAAAGTGTTTCCGATTGTCTTTACTTCCTTTCATCGAGTAGATAATAGCTATGAACGACCATTCCATTAACATGTATTGGTTGTCATCCACATGTTGGGGGACAGTACTCATGTCCCACCCCCACTTCGCATAAAACCTCTGATAGAACGTAAATCCTCCAAGTTGTCTGAAACACTCTTTAACGCCATTACTTCGGTACAACATGACACAAAGACTTCTCAACAGGGAAATGGGTGAAATGTCCTCTTCAAGGGGTTCTATCAAATTTCGAACAAATTGCTTCATTTCAAGTTCATTGAAGAACTCAATAGCAGTCAAAAACAGCTTCGTCAACTCTCCTCGAAAATTCGCGTTCGTCTTAAACAGCAGGAGCGCCTGTTTCATCGCATTCGCCTTCTTAATTTCTTCAAAATTCTCATTTGATTTATCAACAAGAAGCGCCAATATACGAATGACTCCAACTATCAATGTACTCGCATTCCCCTCTTCTAAATGTTCGACAAAATAATTGAACGTTTCCACCGCATTCTTCGTCATTTCGCTCTCCTGAAAGACTTTTTGGTACTTCTTATTATCCACAAGTAATTGTGATATCAAGTAATTGAATGAATTGATCAACTGAGGAGTCTTTTCGACGCTCTGGGGGTTCAAATGTGTTGCAATTGTTTTCACCTCTGGAAATGGAATGAACTTCTGACACCTCGAAAGGTAGACACAGACCGACAGCATTGTGTCTCTGACCACCTGAGAGACGTCATTGAAGATGAAAAAGAATCGTTGCGTGTAGTCGATTGTCGACAGTGCAGCGTAGTTCATTGGATTCTCTCGAAACATCCTTTCTATCAATTTCATGGTATGTAACTTCCCTTCTTGTCTCTCCGTTTTCAAGCAATAATTCTGTAAGAAGAGGGGGACGTGTTTATTCTTCACAAGAAAGTAAGGGTACCGATTCGCAAGTATTCGTGTGTTGTCGTTGTACCTCTGGAACTGTTCAATATGTGGCGAAAAGTCGCCAAAGAACATTAAAGGGGCAATGACGTCCAACACCCCATCCACCTCTTTCAAGTGATTCTTGTCCGCCTCTATCAAGATCCTGAGTGTTGCTTCATAGAACCCATTCTTCGTCAAATACGTCGATATCGCGTCGGAGACATAGGCAGTCGACCTCACAAACCCCAAATACGACTCTAACAGTCGTAACACATCCGTCGACGCTTTCGCTTGATTTAAAGTCGATATCGTTTTCCCAACAGAACCTTCTCTTGAGACAGTGAGTAACAAGTCCGGTGTCATATGTGCGTGTGTGACTGTTTGAAACACAGGAAGTAAGTTGATTTGTGTTTCGGGTTTATCGAATCGCAGTACAAGGAGACCTGAAGGTAACGAGAACCTGGGCGATTGTGGGACAGTTAATATAATAAGTGACATTAATTGAGAGAGCAGGGGGTCGTTTTCGTCGCGAGACACATCGACTAGAAAGGTATACAACTCGGTGATTTTTGTTAAAAATTGTGTTGTCGAAAACAGCGAAATTTGCTCGACATTTCCAAATTGTGCGATGTCTCGAATGCACCGAAAAAGGTCTTGTCCATTTGGAGAGTTTTGGCGGTGAATACCATTCAACCACTCAATCGAACTTTGGTCGACTTGGTTTAGGGTTTGATCAAAGATGGCAATGAGTGTTTGAGTGAAAGAAGAGAGTGTTGGAATACTCTGAATAGTTGGACTTGGTATTTTAAAGAATAGTTCCATACACTTTTCAATTTCAGAAACATGATGGTTGGAAAGATATATCGTGTAATGTTTGTTAAAAGACGTCACATTCTCATTGCGCGGTTGGACTTCCCGCGGCTTCAAGAAAGACTTGAAGAGACTCATGACGATGGATTTTTCAGTTCTTGTTGAACAATTTGGATTTATTTCAGTCTGAAAGTCTTTTTGAAAAATATGGAAAAAACAGACGTATTATTATTTCAAAGTAATTTGGTCGTATCAAAAAAGTCGCTTTAAAGATAGTTTACTGTTTAAATATTTTGATGTGTACCAAGTGGTATTCAGAAAATGAGGGAGTTACTTACAAAAGTTTGAATTACAATAAAAAAGTCTGTTAAAAAAATCTTAGTTGATATTTCCTTAAAGTTAAGTATTATTTTTGTAAGATATTTTTTATTATAAAAGTTTGATATTTAGACTCAATATTAAGCACATTAAAAAAAAGAATCACCACAAGAATCGATTTAATCATATTTAGTAAACAAATTATTGAATTAACTATAATTCAACTGAAACAAAATAACACATCAAACACCTTTTTACTTGTTTTAAGAGTTAAATAAAATTTATTAATATCCCTTATTTTTAGTGTTGGTTGATACCAACTCTAAGAACTCCATCAAGAATTTACTTATAAAGAAAAAACTGAAAAACATTTCATTGAATGAGTGCACCACTTTCTTCGGACTTACCATCACCAATTAACACCATTTTATTTTCTGCGAATTGTTCTGTAGACAAAGTGATAGTAAGAAAAGATATTTTAATTGAACTGCGGATTAACAGGCGTCTTCAGAAGTAGTTTGTTGACTTAATTTTACACCAAACAATAATACAAATTAACTCAAAATAAAACAATAGTTTGTGTAACCAAAAAGTACTTGCCCAACTCATTGATTATGTTTGTGATTGTCACAGTGCATTACAAGACCCAGCGACTCGAGTGATATGTTGTGAGGTTATGGTGATAACTGAAAACATCTTTTTCTTCAATGAACTCATACAACAATTGATTAATACCTTCATCACTTCATCTGATGAAAAGACACTCTCATGCTTGTCTAAAGTGCTTAAAACACTTGTCGTCCTTCCTACTTCAACTGTTTGCTTTTAATCTTTTTTTACATTAAAATTATTATGAAAATTATCAAATGGATAACAAAAAGATCTTCGAAGAGTTTGAAAAGAGAGAGAACATGGTTACTGTATTAATCTCTAAAATATGGTGTATGGAAACACTGTCTTTTGTTATAACATTAACTCAATATACAACCGGCGAAAACGATAAAAAAGGATTGAAGTGGTTATGTCAAAACGGCTTTATTCATCAGATGTTTGAGATGTTTATCGACTCTCCAGACAATGCCATTGAAAGTGGAATCAAAGATATTTTATATTCCATTTCCACCAATAGAGAAAACAGTCAATTTCTATATTCCTTTGTTGAACAAGAAAATCTTCTTGTTAAGTTTGTGGAAGTCACGTTCACCACTGACATTGAATTTGTTAAAGAAAGTGGCGTGTGTATATTACAGTATATTCTTTTAGGTGCGTGCTTTGATTCATTTCAAGAGGACGTGTCAATGAACTCAATATATAATATTATTAATAATTATTACATAACTATTAGAAACATACTAACGTATACAAAAGGTAATGTCACCGAATTAAGAATACAAACGACCATGTTGGTATTATCTCTTGTGTTATCTAATAACAAGAAAGTGTATCAATCTCTTATAGACAACAAATTGATTGAAACGATCATCGTTTGTTATTAAAACAACTCAAAAGGTTATATAAAAAAGAACTATTATATTTATATAAATAATAGTAATATATAGCAATTGTTATATAACTATAACCACACGTGCACAATCATTAGACAAATTATTTTAGACATATGTATTGTTGTTCTTAATGAAGATAAATTAAATTCTATTTTAATTAATGAGGATTTTCAAAAAAGAATGATCGAGGAGGATAAAAAGTCGGTTGCATTCAAAAAGAATTCTTTGTACTATCCAGACATCCACTCATTTAATGTCATTTTAATGAACTCAGTTTATGAAAAATACAGAGGCAAACTGTCTGACAACTTTGTCTCTTATTTTAAAAATGTTGTGTTTAATAGAGAATGTGTGCTGACTAATCAGTTTCTTTGCTCGGCTTCTAAAAGAGAAGAAAAACAACAACTTGTTATCGACATATTTGATTAAATGGTCTTATTGAAATGATTCTTGAGGACTTTGCAATATACTTTTGTTGATATAATTTACTTCGTGATCGGTGGATATCTAGTCTGTAATTGATTCTAATATATTTTTCTAAATTCTAATATGGTTTTATTATAATAAAATTATAATATATATATTTTATTAAAATATGATTATCTATTTTAGAATAATAAAATTATTAACATTTTTATGAATTATTAATAACAAATTTAGTTTTTAAATTACTTGACTATTTATAACCTTTTTGAACAATTATAATTTTATTATAATTTATAATTATATTAAATTATAAACGAAATAAAAAGAACTAACATTTAATAGTATTTTTAAAATAACACAATTAATAACATTAGTATTATTTTTTCCAAAAATCAATTCGTCTTTTTGACGAATACTTTTGAAATAGTTATATTAATTAATATTATTAAATAATAACCCAAATTAACATCAATGATTTATTATTAACTTTTTTAGTACCAATAATTTCCTCAAATAAGTTAAAACTTTTTTTAGGCCTACCAAAATCAATAAAAAGAATAATAAATTCTTCATTAGACCTTCAAAATGGTGTTTCACATAAATTCCGCGAATGAAAAATTGAATTAGTTTTGCCATAAAAAAGTCGAACGCGAAAAGCAAAAAATGAACACGAGCACCATTGACAGCGCGTTCCAGAGTGTTCGCCTTTATTACTTATACTACCCACGTATCTGTGTTGAAACAACATCAGTACTTTCTTACTACTCCTTCAATCCAACTGTTAGAACGTTATCTACGGGGTTGGTAATGGCTTCTTTAGTTGGAACAATACCTATAGTCTATCGTGGGAATAGGTTTTGTTTACCGTTGTGTATAATGTTTCCGTTTGACTACCCATTGACTCCTCCCCTCTTTTTCACCGACCCAACTGCAGAAATGGAAGTTGTACCAAACCATCCCTACGCGTTAACTAATACCGTCATTCATCACCCTTTCTTGGATAGATGGACACAAAACAATAATGTGTTGTCCGTCCTTCAAGTCTTTGTTAAGGACTTCTCTCATATGCCCCCATTACGAATGAAAGTAAAGCAACAACTCCCAACTCTCACACAAATGCAATACACTAAACAAACACAATACTCTACAAATACACCCACAAACACATTTCAATGCCAACAAACCCCACAAGGTGTACAAAGACTACAACCTCTCCCACAAGAACAGTACCAACAACGCGAGGCCGAAAATAATACTTACCCATACACACAACGATCACACCAAATTCGACAATACGACAGTTTCCAAGGCGACAGAATCAACTTCCAACAAAACTTCACTCAACCCTTCCCACAAAAAACAAATTTCCAATTTCCTCAACTCTCGCAAACCAATCCGTTGCCTTCAGTATCATCAATGTACGCCCCAGAAAAGACGGAAAGACAAACACATCGACAACCATTACCTTCGTTCAACTCCGTGTACTCGTCCAATGTTTCTGGATTTGCTCCTTTCAAACCCAAGCAGGAGCAAGCCACGGCTGGCTTCGACTTGAAGGCCTTTGTGTTAGGAAAGGCAAAACAACCCGAAACACATTTACCTGATATCAATAGACTTAACGAACCCATTCAGGTGCAGTTTCCTCCTCTTGACATTGAATCAAGGAAGGACTAATGTATAATCTTGTGTATTTTTTGTGGCTTTTTTTGCTTTTGTTATTTTTAACGGATTTTTTTCCTCGAATTAAAAAATTCCTTTTTGTCGAATACAAAGTGATTATATCGGTAATCAATGATTCTTAGATAAGATGAAGCAGGGAAGCATATCCAATCTTATTCGCCAATTACTATCCGTTATAAATAACACCAATTTCTGTAGTAATTTCTTTCCAATTCCAAAAGAAAAAGAAAAGAAAACATCAAAAATGAAACCCTGTTTTTTTACATTAAGAAAATGCTTGGGATTTGATTTGCTTATTCTTAGGGTTGGTGCGTGTTGTGGTTGATTAACCTTCACAAACTCGAAAAACCAGAGGGAATGAACTTTGTAGGACTTTTGCAAGCATTGAAATCACCAGATAACACAATACGTAAAAATGCAGAGCAGTTGTATAACCAACTGATGACAGAAAACCCTGACCTATTTTTACAAAACCACGTGGAATTAATGAAATCCCCAGAAGAAGAAACTCGACACTTTGTGATGGTCCTTTTCCACGCTGCTTTGACGAAAAAACAAGACCCATTGCTCTTCACACGGTTCAGCCCAAATGCTCAACAGAACCTTTTTGTCACCCTTTTCAACATTTTTCAGAACGAGACGAGTAAACGTGTGGCGACCATGTTAGTTGAGATCTTTGCTGTTACAGCATTACATGTGAGGGACTTAAACGACGGTAAAGGGAATATAGTGCCCTATTACGAGTTAATGTTTTCAATCATAAATTCACCAAATGAAGTGATGCGGTATCTTTCTCTATCAACGATATCCTCCCTTTTCCTCTCATTAGGAGAAGAAAAGCAATACACTGAATGTGATAATATCGTAACCTTGATTAATCGTGGTCTGAATGATAACTCATTTATCGTGTCTATGGCAGCTTTGGACTTCTTTGCGACTATAGCAGTTATATACTCCCCTGAGACTCGACTTGGGCAGTTACAACCGAAGTTGCTGCCATTGATGCAGTCGTCTGTCCAGTTGTTTGGTAAAGTACTGAATTCAAACAACCACGACATGATCCTTGAAGCTTTGAAGAATATCAACAACTTTGCGTTCTTCCCAAAGGAGCTTCTTAAGCCTTATGTCATGTATTTCGTCAACGGACTTCTTGTATTTTGCAACGCACAAGCTTTTGATTTGAAATTGCGACAAACGGCGATGAGCACGACATTGGATTTGATATCGCCATACAGTTTGTTGATCAAGAGAGACCAACAAACACTGGCGAAGATACTCAGTTTACTGTTTGAATGGGATGCACTGAGAGAGGACGATTTGAATGAATGGGAGAAGGAAGACACCTTAGATGAAGACGACGCCGACTTAGCTGACGGGTTAGTTCAAACTGCCGGAGAGTTATTTGGTGGGGAAGTGATGTATCGCTTTGCGATGAGTCAAGTCATGGACACGTGGAAGAAGGAGTATGCCTCTTTACGATTTGTCTTTACTACACTGAACCCGGGTATTCATTTTTATAAGAAAAACATTGAAGAACTCATCAAGTTGGTCCACACGAAGTTGGGGAATACCAATCCACGAGTGAGACATATGGCGTACTCTGTAGTCAATTCTATGGTGAGTGAGATGAAGAAGAAGTGCAAAAGGTATAGCAAAGAGATTATATCGTTCATTCAGACTGCATTTGTTGACACTTCTGTGAAGAATCAGACTATGGGGTGTGATATCTTAGCCACAGTATTGGACGTCGATTTAATAAGTCCACAGAATATGGAAGAGTACGCCGTGGGGTTCTTCCAAACGTTGATCCAATTTGTATCAAATTCTGCGTCATTCCCATTGATCGACTCCGCACTGGCTTCGATCAACTTTATGATTCATTGTATGTGCAATAGACTGACTGCAGTGTTCCCCGCTTTGTTTGAATTTTTCAAGACAAAACAAGTGCAAGTGTTGACGTTACTCAATGCGCCAAATAATGACCCAAAGCAGAAAAAGAATCTGTTATCGACCGAGTCAAGAATTATAGAAGGGCTTTCTATGATGGTCTATGCTTGTTCAAATTCGATTACACAAGAAGTTGCTATGCAAATATTCTTGCAAGTGTATAGCGTGTTCAATGCACCGGCCGACCAACAAGAAGTCTTATTGCCTTTTGCACAGAAGGCGTTTTCCCGACTGGCTTCAACATTAAAACAAAGCGTTCAGCCCTATTTAAATACGATTGTACCCAGTCTTGTGGAAGGTGCTGGTAAACGGACGAAAATACGGTTTGAGACTGGAGAAGAGGAGATTGATGAGAACGAGTGGGCGAGTTCTGCTATATGTGGGTTGAATTATGGAGTGAAAACATCTGAAGTTATTTATAAGGCGGACTGCCAATCGACGTTAACCCTATTTGTGGAAGAATTGAAAGAATCGATGTTCCCGTACTACGAGATGATGATTCCTTTATCACACAACATCAAATATATGCTCGACGACACTGTCAGACAGACTGCAACGTGTTTGATGAGTAAGATGTTGACTGTACAACTCGCAACATTGAAGCAGACTAACCCTAGTGACTACCTTGTAGTGTTCAAAAACTCAAAGTTGTATAAAGAGGTCTTCTTGGTATGGACAGACTCAATTCCAAAAGAGCCGGAGTCCACTATTGCTATTGCGGAGATCGACGCGTTCACACAACTTGTGAAAAGTCAAGGAAATAACGGATTAACTGAAGAAGAGATGCAATATCTGTTCACGATGTTTGCCGACTTGTTTGAAGGATACTTGAACATTACACAAGACAAGAAGAAGAATATGAATGAAGGAGTCCAACAACTGACAGGTGAGGAAGTTGATATGTTGACACAAGACAGTGAGAATGATAGTGATGCGTTGATGGCGTCACAGTACCTCTTCAAGAACATCTTGAGGTTCAATGAGAAGTACTTTGATGTGTATAACCGGATATTCCACCAATGGGTAGTGAAGTACTACAAAAGTGGGAACGAAGACTATATCTCCACTGCTGTGATGTTCCTTTCTGATTTGATAACCGCGGGAAAACGAACAGACATGGCCGTGGTGTTAGTTGGGGAATTCATTAACTTGATTAAAGTGTCTGGGAGTGACACACAGTTTAACACCCTCCTTTGTATGTGCGAGATATTTAGATACTACGACTCCACATTTTTACAGCCATTTGTGCCAGCTTTGCTCGATAAATTGCAGTACTGCTTGGGTCTGAAAGGTACCGAAAAGAATGACATATATGAAGCATCAGTGTTGTGTCAAGGAGAGTTGATGATGAGACACCCCGACTTGTGTAAACAGATTGGGATTGTTGTTGATAAGATGCTGAATGTGTGGTTCTTCTCGTTGAAAGAAATAGAGGGAGTGAAAGACGTTGCAATGACGATGATAATCAATGGAGCCGTCGATGGGTGCTTAAAAATCGACACCGTTGATAAACTGTCATACTTCATCACATTTATCGCAAGAACACTACTAGATGATTCACTTGATTTGGAACAGGTTGATAAACTCAAGTTGGTACTCATTGCATTTAAAAAGCAATTTTCAGACGAGGTGTTCAACAGAATATGGAACAGCTTGATGGTTGAAGAAAAGGAAGAGCTCTATGAACTCGTTAAATGATTTTTTGGATTTGTTGGTAACCAACTTTGTTTTTTGTTAACTCATTTTTGAAGTAAAAGTAGTGTTTATTTGTGTTGTAATTTAAATGTGACTTAAATGCATGTTTTTTAAAAAAATGGTGGTGGTTTTCGACTTAAAGTATAAATATTGCAATTTAAAAATGTTCACAACAAGATTATATTAACTTCAAAGTAGTGTTGGTGTTTGAAAAAGGTAAAAATATAACACTCACTTCATAAAAATACTCAATTGATAAGAAAATGTCAAATATCTTTTGAAAAGAAAATGTGAACCAATGTAATTTATTAAGTGCGTTCAAAAGAAGTAACAAACTTACCGAAGTAAAAAATATTGAAAAGTGAATTGGTTAACGTTGTAGTTTAAAGCAAGATAACTTAAAAACATATAATGATGAAACACAACTTACAACAACTCACGATGAATGAAATTGTATTTAATACACCAAAAGAAAAATATGGAAAAGACGATTCGATTACAATTAGAGAAATGCAAAGATACATTTTGATCCTAGAAAAGATTATAACAAAGAAAAACACAACAATCATTTCAATGGAAAAAAGGCTGGAAGAGTACAAACCGTTTAACGAATTTGTCAACAGCACAGATCCAATTTTATATGCTTCTCCTGTTATGGATATGTTGTGTGAATTGATAAGTGACAGAGATGAAGAGACAAAGAATAAAATACTAAAGAGGTGGTCAGACCACCTTTCCAATGAAATGATAACAGTAAAGAAGTTGGTCAAAAAAAGGAAAGATTCATTTGACCCATTACGGTCGAAATTGAAATACATTGATTTAAAAACAGATATTGAGAGGGAAGATTCTAAAGAGTTTGTTATGTTGCAGCCCTTAGGAAGCGAAGTTGGCTTCATACGGAGTGATAAGAAGACTTTACCAAATCAACAACCAAATGTACAACTTTATGAGTGTCTTTTAAAGAACTTTTTATATGAGGAAGGTATCTATTACACAAAATTTGAGATACTTACAAAATACTTTATCACTCCATTAAGAAATGCACAATTAGCTTTTGAATCCGTCAAAGTCCTCTCCGATGTTCTTCCCCCAATAATGTCTTTGGAAAGAAGACTGAATAGAGCTCTAAAAGCACCAGAAGCAAATGTTATGAAAGTGTTTAAAGACTATGTCCAAGAGATTGATGTGTACATCCCTTATATTATTATACTAAAGAACACAAAACTTCGTCAAGATATCCTAGAAAATTGTGCAAACAAAACATTCAAAAAAGAGCAAGCCGAACTTGTGAATCAATCTTTATTTGTCAACCCCGACCAAATATTGCCTGCAACAACATACCTCGACGCACCTTCTTTCAGATTTTCCAAGTTGTCCAAAATCTTTGGCGACCTATTATCAAATGTTGATATGAAACATCCCGACTTCTCTTCGCTGACGGCAATATACACTCTTGTACTCAAGACAATGAAGAAGTATGAACAACAATTGAGACTCACTGAATCCAAAAAGAGTTTGGACGACCTTCAAAAACTGTTTCCAACAGACAACATCATTGAGAAAGACAGAGTTTTACTGCATTATGGAGCACTCAATGTATTAGAAGACAAATCGTCGTGGTGTATGGGGTTTCTCTTTACTGACATCTTCATCTTAGCACGTTCGACAATCCACAATGTAGCCGGTACTTCTAAAGAGGCTCTTCTTCGCTTTGAGAATGTTCCGAGTGGGAAAGATGTTCTTTCACTGCAATACTATCGTTTTACTGAGATTCTACGCTTCACCACAAACACGTCTCACTTCAAACAAGTGTGTGAGAATGTTTTAGCTCCAAACGCCTTTTTTGTTCAACAAGATGACATCAAAGCTCATTGCAGTTGTCCGAGTCTCAAAGAGCTTCAAGCCTGGGTACTCAACTTGTTGAAATTGAAAAAATGAAGACCCAAAACGAGTAACACCTTCACATGCCTTCAATCAAAATTAAATTAAATGTACTTTTTACAGTTCAATTGGGTCGTCTTTCGTCCCTTTCACTAGCAATCCAAGCTCCGGTGTTTTCGTTCGATGCACCTTTTTAATACTTTTCTTTTTACCCAAAACAACACCTTCAGGCGGTCTGTTCCATTCTTCAAGCGCTGTCATAGGCGATGGGCTATTGTCTTCACTCGCCAACTCAAGCAACGTATTAGGTGAGAAATGGCGTTTCGGTTGTTGTTCCTTTTTGGGTTTGGTCTCGTCTTTGATCTTTCTCATCTTCCTCATCACTTCTGACAAATACGAATTGGGGCTTGGCGTTGCTATAAATGTTTTGTCCGGCTTCGCATTCTTTTTCATATATCGCATTTCCTCTTCGTCCGTCTCCTTCTCCATCCCTTCACTTTCCCATCGGAGCGTTTTCACATCACTGATCGTTCCATCAACACCAAGTGTGAACGTCTCGACGTCGTCCGCTGTCTTTTTCAAAAGTTCTTGGACTTTTCTGTCAACAACTATTTCCTTTTTGTTATTCTTTTAATTGTAATATACTATATTATTTACTTAAATAATAATACTACTATTTATAATATTATTAACTATAATTATACTAATTATACTAAATAGACTAACGAACAAACAGACACGGGCAATGGTTTGTAACAGATTGGGCAATTAAAAGACTGTTTGATGGTTGAGTTTCGTATAAAATTTTCCAAATCGAAACAGGAGACGTGTGTGCAATTCACTCCTCGGACTGGGATCTTCATCTTTGTCTTGGTGATGGGACACTTTAACGGAATGGTCTGTTGTTCTTCCTCGAATTCATCTTCTTCGACTTCTGACCCGTCGTTATTAGCGTTGAGGTCAAGAGACACCATTTCATTCGACTTCAATGAATTTTCTGATACCCTTTTGACGGTGTCTAGAAGGGAAATGGACTCTATTTCGACGACAGAAACAAAAGTGTTATGCACCACCTCTTTTGTGACAAATGAGATGACGTTTCGACCTTCTTTAAGTAAGTCCGTCACATCTATGTTATTGTAAATCTCCAAGTTATCAATCCCCTTGATCATCTTCGGCCGTACGAAGTACTTCTTTGTTTCATAACTGATTTTGTTAATAGTAATATGTGACACGGAAAATGGGGGGATGTTCCGCTTCGTGTTCACGTCGAACAATCTGATTTGAATGCGGTGACTTCCGCTCGGCTCCTCCAACACGCGAAATGCAAACGACGGGTGTTCTCTCTTTTTGAACAAATTGTTTCGGTTCCGATACTCAAAAACAACTTCCGCCACAGAGTATGTGTTCGCCTGTTGAAAAAAGTTCATCGAAAGCACTTTGACTTGTTTGATCATCGGCGAGACTTTCGTCTCAAACTCGGCTGGTCGCTCTTGCATCCAAGACTTTGTTTTCAAAGTTGTATATGAAAAATTACTAATATATTTCTAATAAATTTATTATAATAAAATTAAAAATAGTAAAAACTTATTCGATGTTTGAAAGGGTTTTGATAAGTTTTATTTTACTTAAAAATATAAACTGTTTTATGGCAAAAAACACCAGCAACCACGCGTGTAAAAAATATACATTTTTCCTAAAAAAAAGTATGCGAATTGAGGATAAATTGTAAAATAATTAGGGTTTACTGTTTCCAAGAAACTGCCGCAGCAGATATGACAGCCCCAAGGCCAGAACCATCTTTACTGAGTTGGCACATAATCTTGTCTTGTGGTTGTAGAAGGTCCAGACCTTCAATATAGTACTTTTTGAATGGTACGGATTTTTGATAAACAGTCCCGTCGATACCTGCGGTGCTCCGAGAAGACAAGTAACTCGACATTTTTCTGTACAATGCAACGGTAACTGCTGAAGCAAGATATCCACTTCTCTTCACAACCAACGTGCAAACTTCCTTGAGTATTTTTCTCTCTTCAAGTGTACTGTCAGTGACGCCCAATTTCTCTAAGATTACTTGTACTCTGCTTAAGTTCTCTGTTGTGTCTTCTGTAATTTCTGTGTGTCTCGAAGAAAATTTTCTGGACTCATCGAAATGTGTGTCATCCGGTTCATCCGAAAAGACTTCTTTTTCTAAGTACCTTTCAAAGCAGACTTTCTTCTGCATTAACTCTCTAATGACTAACCTACTTAACCATCCAAGGTATATTCCCGATATCAACTTTTCATATTTCTGACTTCCTTTATTCACAGAGACTTCGTCGATCATCAAGTCGAATTTATTTCGTTTGAACTCCTTGAAGTCGAGTCCTCCCCACTCCGTGTTGATCACTATAAACTCTTCTTTACAAACACTTCTCATCTTTTGAGCACATATATTTGAAGTCTTTTCAATATAACACCCATTGGTCCCTGTGCCAAAGATGATTCCCATCCCACAAGAAGGATCATCGTATGCCAAATTAATCAAAGTTCCAACAGTGTCGTTAATTAAAGCAACTATCTCGACATTCTTCAAATCTATTTTGATCATCTGCTCTGTTATAAGCTTCACTACGTCTTTGCCTATTGCTTCTTTGATATCCCATCCTTTCGACCACCCAACCAATTCACCTTTGTTGATCGCCTCTTGGTTTACAGCAAACGAAAACGTTAGACCGGCCTTAATCGACTCGTTCTCAAGTTTGTGAGTGTATACAAACGATTTCAATTTGTTCGCAATGTACCCAAAAAACTCGTCGTTGGTGTGTGAGTTCTTCGGCATGACACTTTCGATCGTCTGTAACTCTCCACGAACACCTGGTGATGGGAGGTCTAGGTATATAATACGCATGTTAGTCCCGCCAATATCGATCCCAATGAACTTCCCAGTCTCATTCCCAGTTGGAATTGGTGCATAGGTTGGAATCATTTGAAGTGTACTTGCACGGCCTTGAAGACCATTTTCCATCTCTTCCAAAGTCTTTGAAACGATTTTTTCCAAGTCGTCTTTGGTTAACATGAACATGTTGCGGATATCTTCCATAGTGGATTAAAAATATTATTAAGTTAATGATAAAGAACTCAAATACTTTTCAATTATGGTACTCAAATTGTATTATATATAAATTAGTAAAATATTAGAATAATTTTTAATAAATTAATTAATAAATAAAATTAACCAAAATGTTTGGTTGATTCTATTTACAGTCAAAGGTGTCTATTTGTCGTAATTATAATTGTCGAAGTTGCTTAATGGTCGCACAACTGGCCAATCATTTTGGTTTACGACAATTAAATATTTTGTTTTCGAACCTGTAACTTTTGTTGAATTAAAAACC